AATATATATATAATTTGTAAATAATTTAAGCACAGCCTGAATAACATGCGTGGAAGAATTAAAAAAAAGATATATATACCACTAGAATTCAAAGGTATGATACACCAAAGAGTTACATGGTAACATCTCGAAGTTGGCATCACAAAAGTAAGTGCAAGTGTCTCCTCCTGTGACTGCCTAATGTCCCAGTAAGGAAGCCACAGTCATTTCCATGTAAAGACTGACAAGCTGACTGAAGCTTTTCTTTTAACAAGACTGTTGTTGTAGGAGGTAACAGCAACACTCAGAGCCACTATCATGTTTCTGCTGCCTGACACTCTTCCAGGCTCTGGGACTTTGGAAGAGGAGAGCAGGTAGCTGCTCTTTCATTACCAAACACGCAGCTGGCAGCCCCGAGAAGGAAGTCAGGCTTTCATCTACCTGCACATTTACCACGGTCTTTGCAGTGACAATTCTGATTGCCATTAAAATACCACATAGCCATAAAGGAGGTTTTCTAATCTAGGCAAAATAATGAACAAAAAGATAACACTGATATTGCAAAATATTTTCACCAGCCTTAGACCTCTGGAAAAGTCAATAATGTGTGCGGTAGTCTGGATCAAGAGGGGTTAGAGTGGCTGCGGAGAAAACAGCAATGAAGCCAAAAGATGAAACAAAAGCATAAGCAGCAGGTTGGCTGGGAATTTAGTTACAGAGGGAAATATAATGGAAGAGAAACAGCCTCCTGGGAGGTGATCAGATTGCAAATCCTGAACAACACAAAGACAACACGTGGCATCAGACACAAGGGCAGTGATCAGTATCAGCAAGCCCATCCAAGCCACTGTTCCAAGATGACACTACCAGTTTGTCAGCCCCTATTTAGAAACAACCAAGGAAAAATTATTACAATTAACCGTGCAATAAAAAAAATAAGAAAAAAAAACTTATCAACTACATTCTTGAACAAATTTATGAGGAATAAATCAGTGAGAGCAATCCATTTGAGCTAGGATCCAGAAGTTAACCTAGAGTCTTAAAATGGTTGGGGTCGATCTCAGAAATTTTTCACTTGTGCCAGAATCTACACCAAAATCCTGGTTAGACAAATCACCTCCTTGAACACAAAGTCAGGTTTTATAAAGGAGAAAACTTGAAGGTTGGTATCGCAGTAGTTTGGGCTTTTTTTTTTTCCTCCTTTCTATACCTAAAGGCAGCATCTATTGAAATTACAATAACCTAGAAGAAAAAAAAAACTCACAGAAGCTTCCAGACCAAATCCCTCCAGAGAACATGTTTGTATAAATACAGAATTAACAGACTAAAGGAAAGTTATGGATTTCAGTAAATGCATTGGTTTCAATGAATAGCAGGTGACTCTCGAACTCAGAAGGAGGCACAAAAACATAAAATTGCATTTCTTTAGCTATAAGGATGGCTTACAATATTTTAACAAGCTAAGCCTAAATAAAAGGTGTCATTAAATGTGCCTACAAATGAACAAAAGGATGTTCATGAACTTGGTTGTTACCATTGAAAATAGAAAAGTCTATAGAATAAACTTCTTTGTAACACTGGGTAAGAGAATATGTGCCATACCTTATGACACATGGTCTTCAAGCAGTAGTAATATAGTACTCCCATGTTTATCATCCTTATATATGCACCTGAACTAGTATACTGCACTACAAAAAAAAGATTCAAAAATTTGAGACTAGCAATATAATAAACACGTTTGAATAAAAAAGAGAATAGACTTGGAAAAGAAAGGTCATAAAATGATGTGACTGCTATCTACAAATAACTGAGGGGTGTCTAGAAAAAGATGCAAGCCCAGGTAAGATGCCTTATCTGTAAGCAGTAGTGGGACTTTGTTTACAGAGAGAACCATTAGCCTTGACCAAGACCAAAGGTGATTAGAGTTAGGCTAAGGATGATAAAGGGTGCAGCTTGGGAAGTGTTAACGGTGGAATGGTCATGTACAGAGCACTTTAACCCAAGGCCACTGCAGAAAAGAAAATGGAGCATGCCCACTATGATTTAACAAATATAAGACAAGAGATTTGCTGGTAATAGAGTTGAATGGTATCTATTTTTTCCTGATTATATTACATTTCAGAGTGCAAAGAGTAAATCAAGATATAGGCCCATTTCCCTCTCGCCTATCCTCCACCCCAGATAGAGCCAAAAACCTTTGAAAATAAGGTTCATATGACTATGAAGCTACTATTGTATGTTATATTACATGAATACAATATGTGATTTAATGAAAGAGTTGGCCACATAGAATAGCTGAGGGGAAGCCTCACAGCTAGACTAATGACATCTGTTCAGATAGGAAAAAACAGGACATTCTCCTCCTGAGTCACCAGATCTCCCAAGGGATTACATGGGATTCAGCAGATACCATGGTCATTCAAGAGTAGCCTCTCCTGTGCTTCTGTGCTGGTCTGTTGCCTTTTAGGCTCTTAGGCATCTTCTGGGTAGTGTGGGGCAAAATGGGACAGGCTACCAGGGCCTCTACCAGCATTCCAGCCTCTCCCAACTGCAGACAGAATTCCAGAGCACAAAGGAGCATGGATTAACTTCTACTTTGTACTTGACAATGGAAGGACTAATCAGTATTTCTCCTTTCTCTAGACTCTGCTGGTTAGGAAAGTTATAAGAGGGCATGGGAAAAACTGGTGTTAGCATCTGAGGAAGCCTATTGCAGTTGTGCTGTCCATAACATCTAAGCAAAGATAGTGCAGATTCATCCTTTTTTTTTTTTTTTTTTTTAAGCAGACTGTCAATGCTGAACTTAGTAACTCTGCAAAGATAAAAAAATGATCACCATGTTTTGAGGTTTATTTCTCGTGGCATTAATCTTTTCTCACCTAGTATTCAAAGCTACTGCCATAGCAATATTCATACTATTCCATGTAGTGATAAAAGAAGAAACTCACAAAAGACTATGCATACTTAATAAAATTAATCCATCATTGTTGAATCTAAGGAGAGATGGAGTTTAGCCCTAATCCTAAATGTCTTCATGAACACCTGCACCTGAACCAACTTCTGCAATTCAGACCCATTTCTGGTTCTTGTGCATGAAAATAATTATACAATATGTCTCCCTCTTTCATAGAGAAAATATTCACAGCCATTAAAGATGAATCTGTTTTCTCACTGTAAGTCAAGCAGCATGAGTCAGATCCTTTCCTCATCCCCAAAACCATCTCTGCGCAGGAGCACAATAGTCTCTGATCACTTTTTTTTTATGCTATTTAATTTGCTGCCTATTGCTTAAGGGATGGCAAACCTGATTAGCAGATCAGGTTTATCTGGATTCCAGAGCAGAGATGCCATAACCATGCTGGCCTGCTCTACTAAGCAAAAGGCCCAACATAGAAAAAGAAATAATGTAAATTTGTTCCCAGTATATTCCATATTACTCCTGTGAGCTAGTGAATTGCTGCAGCAGACACTGCAATTAAGACACTGCAATTAACTTGATTAGGTTGTTACACTAGTTAGCACTTTCAAATCCTAGTTATAAGTTATTAGGAAAAATAGCTAATTTTGTACTACACTAAATGGCTGATAGATCTATTGTATGAATAAGTATATAGAGAATATCACAAGTCAAAGAGTATTACAAAAATCTACCACAGCCAATGGCTCTGAAGACATTAACGCTTATGGAACTTAAACTTTTTTGTGCAAGTGGAAAGACCTTTGGTAAATACCGATTTAGTCTCACAAAATCGGCTGTAGATTTTCTAAGTGAATAGCTCTGCCTAAAAGAAAAACACTTTTAAAAGAATAACTTAGACAAATAAAAACTTGCAATTTTTATGTTGCTAATTAAAAAGATTTTAAATTAAAGTCTTAATGAACACTGGAATGGTGTTAGGTGAACAGGTCATCTACAATACTGTAATATTAACTTAATCATTCATTTGCCTTTGTTCTTCAATGAGACATGTTTTTCGAATGAAAAGAAAAAAACAAATCAGTGAATAAGCAAGATCTGAGCCATGAAAATATAATTCTCCCACTTAAAACACCATAAATAATCTGTAAAACTGTAAACGGCTTTATGCAAACAACTAGTAATGAATTTTGTGGCTCTTCTGCCACCATCCATAGGCACATTTTGCAGAAATTTTGAACAAACAACGAGAAATTGAACCACTGGAGCTGTATAAAACTTGTGTTTCCACTCGCAAAAAAGAAATCACTTTTTTTTTTGGTTTGTTTTAGATTTATTTTTTTTATTCTACTTTTTTTTTTTAAAGAAAAAACCTTAATGAATCATGCTAAATTGTGAATTTGAAAAGTTTCCAATATTAAACAAACACAAACAAAAAAAAATCAGAATTAACTTCATTAACTTCATAAATTTGCACGTGTGAATGCTTATACATTTTTCACTGAGAAAATTTTTAGTATTCAGGTCAGATTTGCCACTGTGTGAAATTCATCCAAAATGGTCAATGGGGAAAAATGACAAGTGCTTTATGATAACTGCTCCATTTTCATTATGCATAATGGACACTATTTCCAAAAGTAGGCATCTTGGCAAATGCCTTTCCTGTCTCAATTCTCCATCCCCAAGGGGCAGTTTTCTGATTCAGGATTAAGTGCATAGAAAGCTGATGCTTTAATTCTAAGCAGTTTCTCATTTAGTCAATAATATTCTGGGCTGCTATATGTTGAAAATATGAAAACTTTTCAAATTTGAGACATTTCCTTAGCAAATATTTCTTTTGCAGGTGATCTGGGAGATTCATGAAAGCAGGTGAAGTTAGGTTCCATACAGCTCTTGCTAGAACATCAGCTATAGCCATCATTTTGGATTTGTTCCTTTGCAGACAGGTTAGACACAATTAACTCTACATTCTGATTGAGAAAACAAAATCTGAATAATCCTAACTCCATATTCAACATGAATTTACATTTTAAAGCTCTGTCAGAATTCAAAGTCTGCTTTGGCCACTAGGCAAACCTCCAAATATATTCTCATTTCGATTTACCTTATTGACATCCATTCGCAACTTCTCATTGTTGGCACTGGCAGCTTTTTCTGCTGCTTTCTTTTGACGCTGAGGTCCCCTGCCAAAGAAGATGTAGTTGACCAAAGCATACTCCAGCAGAGCCATGAAAACGAACACGAAACAGCCCATAAGGTACATGTCGATGGCTTTCACATAGGGAATTTTGGGAAGAGTCTCTCGAAGATGGGTATTAATGGTTGTCATCGTGAGCACGGTTGTGATTCCTGGAAAAAGAATGACAACTCTATTAATTGAATTCATGTTAATTTTCTAACTTTCAGCTTGCAATATTCAAACGCTAGCCCTGTAAAAAGTTCTAGGAGATAGGGAATTATTTTTCCACCAGAAAAGAATACATCTGTCCATATCTCCCCCCACCCTCCTTGTCTTTTTGGAAGGCAAAAAATTACACGCCTAATGAATTGTGCTCATGCAGACAGAAATTGCATCTTTCAAGTATATTTTCTAAGTGGTTACCTGCAACCTTCTCTAAGCATACGAGGCTTGAGAGCCTTCCTTTCCCTCAGCACTCTTACACTGCCTTCAGACTTAAAGGGAAACACCACATAAAAAAAAGTCTGGTCGAAGTCAAGCAGTCTTATAAAAAGCTAAACTGTAAAATTCTCAACCATCTCTTTTATGGCAATTCACCCATTTTATCCATAATAAAGATGTACTGCCAGGAATCAGCCTGATTTATGCAAAGTTTTGCAATAGATGCTTATATTTATTTTTGTAACATGCTTAGATCCTCTGATGAGAGGCAGAGTATAAACACACACACATGGGAATAGTGATGAGATATAAAATACTACTCTAGAGATTAATTAGGGAAGTGGTTTTGCTTTTAGAATCTAAGATAACAGAATGGAAAGGAAAACTTCTCCTTATACTTAAGGAAAAATTAGTTATATAACCCCAGTAAAACTTTAATCCATATACATACAGCATAATACAGTGCTGAATGTGTATTCTGGCCTGCTCTGAGCAAAAGCAAAGTAAACGCATTCTCTTTAGATGAAGAACAGGCAATAAAACAACAACAGAAAATGCTGAGACAATTAGGCTAATTCTGGTTACAATGATTATACAGTTAGCTAATTCAGACATGAAATCACTTCAATTTTTATTTAAATTGTGATGATTTAAATGCTGATTCAAATAGTACAAAGCTTAACAAGCTAGACATAAAAAGATCTAACAGATTTATTTTTCAAATCATGCACTATCCACTAACCCAGAAGCAAGAAAAAGCATTCAGCTAACACACACTGCATGAGATGTGTAAAAATGCCTACCTAAAGCAACTCTTGCAGCTGAAGCATCATAATTAATCCAGAAGGAAACCCAGGACAGGATAGTGATCAGAATAGAAGGCATGTAGGTCTGCAGAATGAAGTAACCAATGTTTCTCTTAAGTTTAAAGCTGAGAGACAGCCTTGGGTAGGCACCTAAAAGAGAATATTTGGTATGGCCATAATTTACTTGTATGAAGCCTGAAAACATTTTCTTGTCATTTCAGTTTTATTGTTTCATGCCACACAGAGTAAATAGAGTCAGAAGATCCAGGATAATCAGACGCAGAATTTCTAATAAGAGCTGGGATTAAACGGTCTCTTATTCTAAGGGTACGATGCTGCTGCTAGGGCCACATCTGCTGATAATCATAATATTCCACAATCAACAGCCAAAATATATTCCAGAGCATCAAAGCACACACAGGCTTCTTCCCTTACTAGCTGTGGTTAGACCTCCTTCACTAGCCTCCTCTTCAGGCAATGCAACGTTTCCCTTTCAGCTCTGGACAGGAGAAACCTTTTGGAGTACCAAACACTCATGGAACAGGTGCCTGGAGATGACTATGTATTCAAGTCCCATTTCTGCTCCTTTTCTTTTTTTTTTTTTTTTTTTTTAAAGAATTCAGCCTGCATATTCCCCCCTCCAAAGATAATTTATATCTACAGCTAAAAGGTAAGCCTTGGGGTCTTTTTAAACTCTGAATTATTTTGTAAAATTTAAATTCTAGCAGTTTTCTAGAGTAAGTAGAGAACATCAGATAGTAACAGCCTAACTCTTTTCTTTCTTGTATCATTCAGTGATAAAGTGATAAAAAAAAAAAAAAAAAAGAAATCCAACCTTGTTTTCTACCCCTCACACAGCACCTTCTCAGTTTTCAGACAGTCATATGCTTCCTAGCATGGGCAATTACAAACCCTGTTCAACCAGGATTTGATATCTCCTCTAGTGAAGGCAAAACAGTTAAGCCAAGACCTTCACAGCTGGGCACAAAGAACAACTGGAAGTAGTGAAGGAAAGACTTCATACACGTTGGATTATTTCTTGTTGGAATTAGGACACTGAAGCACACAACTGTTTCACTCAGTTTTCAGAGGAAAACAGATAATATGTCCTATTGCGACGAGCCTTAACATGACCAACTACTGTATCCTGTTAATGAGTGATGCCTTATATACTGTGAAAGCTGTAATAACAGCTCCTCCTAAAATTCACAGTTACTGCTCCAATTTATTCCTGTTTCTGAAATTTTTCCTCATTGAGGATTAACCTATTTCTAAAACTCTTCCCAGTCAGTTCCCTTTCCAACATCCCCTCCACAAACCTGTAGAGAATACAACATTCTTGGTGATAAGCTTGTAGTCTACAATGGAGAACTGAGGCAGTTCGATCTTTGTCACTCCTGTGACTGCATTATCACCCCCACGCCAGTAAAATTCAATGTCATCTGTTGTATAACCATCTATAAAGACAGAAGTAAAGAGTTAAGATGCACATCAGGTCATTCACAATATCCAGTGAACTTATGCAGAAAACTTCATATATAGTTCTAGAAATTAATAATAGATATGTATACATACTCATGTAATTCAAATGTCATTTCCATGTCAATGTTTTTATACACTAATACATTCATAAAGCCAACTTCCAAAACAAAATTATGATTACCCGCAACCCAGATGTAAACAGCAGCTTTCCATGTGACATTTTAAGGTAATTACGGATCCCACAGCTGGATAAACCATGTGTGCTGGCAGCAATTTCTGCATCAGGGCAGTAACGTGCAGCCTCACTGCTGTCTGTGGCCCAGAGTAAGAAAGAGGAGGGAGTAGAACAGGTAGTATGCAAGTTCCGTGCACAGTATCTTCGGGTATTTGCTCTGTATGCAAAGTAGTTCATAATCAGCCTGTCTTTGAAAAGGACACCGACTCTGTTTCCGTCCCCTATGATTTTACTTACAAAACAGGATCATTGCTTTTTTGAAAAGGTTTGAATGGAATAAAAACCAGTCACATTTAGGGAGGGACTCAGGAGAAGTATCTATAGCTCTTACTGCACAGCTAAAAAAAAAAAAAAAGTCTTTATCATGCGACAGCCATCACTCAGGGTAGCAAAAATAAAAACAATAATAATTTTTTTTAAAAAAGGTAGCACTAGATCAGAGTCTGAAAGCATATTATTTCATGTACATGAAATAAGAATACAGGATATCCAAGCAGCAGCCAAGTTGCATACTCTACAGTTAAA